GATTCCTTCTGTAGCTGCAGCTCCTGCAGTTGGCGCCCCACCCCCACTCCACCCTCATTTGGCCAGAGAGAACCTCTGCGCGCATTCCCCCAATTCCGGTCAGAAGGACCTGGGACAGGGGGTGAAAGAGGAACCTAGGCCATGAGGAACTTGCAGCTCAGATCAAAGACTTGGCTCTTAGGCTGGGCCACCCAAGGGTTAATTGGGCGGCTCTGGATCCGATGTCTGGGTTCAAACCCAGCTCTGCCAACTGCCAACCGTTTGACCTTGAACAAATTAAGTTAAGGTCCAGGTTTTCAGTATTTGTGCAGTGGGAATAGCACCAGCTTCCTAGGGGAGTTGTGAAAAGTAAATGGTAACACCCATGTAAAATACTCAGCACAGTGCACACACACATAAAATGGAATAAATGTTAGTGATTGCCATTAGGATCAAAGCTCGAATTATCATAGCCTACAAGGCTCTGCATAACCCAAGCTCCCAACTCCGTGGACTTGGAGAGGCCACTGACCCCCTCCACCCAGCAGCCTAGGTCCCTTCTGCCTCAGGACCTTTGCATGTGCTGTTTTCTCTGCCTGGAAGGCTCTTTCCCACCCTGCACTTCAAGCCAGCCTGCTCTTTCTTTGGGCCTCAGTTTACTTGTCACATCATCCCGAAAACTCTCCGAGTCTGCCCTCCTCCAAGCGCAGTCTGTTCTATTTTCTCATAACAGCCTGGGCTTCTCCTTGCTAGCAGTGCTCCTAGTTAAAATGTATAAATGTGATGTGTTTAATGTCCATCACCCCCTGGACAGCCCACTCCATGAGGCCAGGAGCCCATCTTACTACATCCACTGTGGTATCCCCAGGCCCCAGGACAGTGTCTGGCGTAGGCCCTCTATTCGTGGTAAGTGACCCAGAGTGGATGGTGGGATCCTGAGACCAGAGGGAATCTTGAGTCTTCTCTGTTATTTCACCAGTGCCTTCCCATGGTAAACCTGTATTTATTAAGCTCATCTATGTGCCAGGTCCCGTGTTGGGTGCCTAGGACACAGAGCCATACAATTCTCTCTCTGACTTAATGGAGTTCATAGTCCAAGGGCAGACACAGACATATAAACAGAAGACAACACACATGGGGTATAGACAGCAGCGAGGGTGTGTGTGTGTGTGTGGGGGGGGTGGCTGTTCCTGCAAGGCAGGGCCCTTGGCTCTAGGTGGTATGGGTGGACTAAGTGTCATGCTTTACCTGCATTATGACACTAAAACTCACCACTATCAGACAGGCCTGGGATCATCCCTATTGCCCAGAGGAGGCTTCAAGAGGTTAAACAGCCCGGCCCAAGTGGCTCAGTGTTTGAGTGGGGATTACGGTTCGATTCCCCATCAGAGCACATGGCCGTGTTTCAGGCCCGATCCCCAGTCGGGGGTGTGCAGGAGGCAGCTGATCAATGATTCTCGTCATTGATGTTTCTATCTCTCTCTCCCTCTCCCTTGCTCTCTGAAAGAAAAAAGAAGTTAAACAACGTGCCAAGAATCACAAAGACAATAATGGCGGAAGTGACATTCGAACACAGGGACACTCTGCTTCAGAGTTGGAGTTCTGCACTACCTGACCATGCTGCCTCCTAGCCAACAGCTGTGAGGCTAGCCTCCCTTTTTTTAAGGTTGCATTCGCATCCTAGCCCACAAACCCCTTTCTCAACTGGCAAGAATGGGACTGCCCCTCCCCACATCCCTGCCTGCCCCTCCCCACACCTCTGCCTGCCCCTCCCCACATCCCTGCTGGTAGGAATGCTGCCACCCAGGAGCGGGGAGGGAGGGAGGTGGGAGCGCAGGGCTGAGGGGCAGGTGAAAGCTTCCCCCACATGGAGCTTAATGAGGCATGCTCATTGGGCAGCAAAGGAGACCGGCTGCAGCTCAGCTAAAAACAGGAGCGCCTCTGGCTTCTGTGCTGCCAAATCCCCGGCGCTGGAGGGAGGCCTGAGCCTAAGCCGGCTCAGCGCCCTAAGGGTGCCGCTCTCACTTTTACACCCACCTCAAAGCTCCACTGATCCTGCTACATCTCCTCTGACCACCCCTGGGCCTTTTTTTTTTTTTTTAGGTTCATTTGTTCTCGTAAAGGCAGCCCAGCCTGCTCTCCCAGATTCCAGGACTTAGCCAGCAAAAAGATTTGGAGGCTTACAGGGGACTGTTCTGAGTCTTCTTTGCACAGGGCTGACTGGTTAGATGGGGGTTCATTCCTTCAAGGATTCAAGACCACCCCTCTTTTTCAGGTCATCCCGCCCTCCGGCTCTCGGAAAGCTGCATCTTCCAGCAGTACCCCGAGAATTCTGACAGCTGGATCTGTGGTCAGAGCAGTGATGCAAGACTAGAACTCAGGTAAGAGAACAAGGGCAAGGCTAATAATTGTGACCATTTATTGAGTCCTTTCTGTGTGCCAAACACTGTGCTAACTAAGCACGTTCCATGCGTTTGCTCAGTGAATCCTCACAGCAACCATGTCGGGAAGGAACCAATATTATCCCCATTTCACGGATGAGAAATTGAGGCTGAAAAAATTCAAGTACTTTCCCCAAGTTCACACAACTAGAAAGGGGTGGGAGATTCAAGCTCCGGCCATTAGGACTCTGAAGCCCAAGCTCTTAACCACTCTACTCTCATGGGTCAACAACACAGAAGGTAGTTCAAGAAAAGACCAACCAACAAAGAACTGAAAGGTGGGCAATGCTGATACTCAGGGTCGGGGGGCGGAAGAAGCAATTATTACAGAACAGAAAGAGCTTTGTCCACCACCAGACAGAGCCAAACAATGGAGGATTGCAGTGGAGAAATATTGGCTATTTTATTGATGAATGACACCACCCAGGAGAACAGGAAGCTAATGCTCAAAAGCCCGAACTCCCGATGGTGTGTAGGTTACAGGTTGTATAATAGGGCAAAATCACAAGACATGGTGGGTTAGGAGTTCAGTGCCTTGCTGGAAGTTAACGTGTTGGCTGTGAGCTAAGGGTAATGAATCATTTCTCCAGGTCTAGAGGTCAGCCCTGAGGCCTGTTCCCATGGTTTCATGGGCGCCATAGGACTCTGGAACTGAAACATAACTTAGGTCAAGATGTTATCTTCAGCCTGCCAGAGGTCCCAACCCCATGACCATTATTCAGGCCTACTGTCTCCTGCTGCCTCAGGGGTTGCTGATTATCCAGGGGAAAGGCTAGATCTCTGAGGAACATATAGAGAAGATTTCTAGAGCTGGAATTTAAAACCAAATTTAAGTCATAAGAACCCTTGGTTTCACAATGACAGAAACAGAACCATCAAGGGGTAAACATGGGAGACACCATACGAGGGAAGCTGGAGAGGGGACAGATTCAAGGGCCTGATGAAAATGCGATTTTTTAAGGACCTGGTGACTAGCTGTGTGGGGGAGTGTCTGACACCTTTGGGGTGTCTGCGCAGATCTCAAGAAATGCAGACGGAAAGTTAGAGAGAGGGCTCACTTCACTGGCTCCCGAGTCTACAGTCCTGATCTTCCCTGGGTTCTAGCTGCATATTGCCTTTGGGGTCCATTAATGTCCCCTACTCCTCCGTATCCTGATACAACTTTCCTAAAGAGCTAGTGTCAGTGAGTTTCTAATATTGCCAATGAGAGTCAAAACTAATGTGGGGGAGAGCTGAGCCAACGCTAAGTTCAAAGTTTCTTTCCTGAGTAGCTTGGGGAAATAGCACAATTGACAGGAATAAGGAAATACGATGGTGAGGTGGTTTGCCTGTGAGATTTAAGGAGTAGATGGTCAACTGAGTCAGGTGCTCTGGACGCTGACTGAGCGAAGGCCCACTGGTGGTCAATGAGGTGGCCCCGATGACCCTAGTGACAGTTGTGTCAGAAAAACAGTGATGGGAGCTGGGAGACAAAGCTGAAAGCAAGGGCGTTTGGAAGGAACGGGAGAGAATTTGTGTGTTACCTTTAAAAATGTGGCAATAGAAACAGGATGGTAGCTGAAAAAGGCAGGGCGATCAAATGAAGGACCCCACCCCCACCCCAAGATAGGAAAGGCCTGTGTATATTTCATAGAAAGAAAAAAACTAATAGAGAGATGTACGCTTTGGCATGAGGATTAGGATAATTAGACAAGATAAATAGACAGGGTTCTGGAAGAGACAGGAAGGGAATGGGACTGAGAGCAAACAGAGGAGTTTGGCCTTAGAACAAAGGGACTCAGACCTCTGCAAATGAGTCTCTGTTCTTGTCATTTCCTCTAACTCATATTCATGCCTTACATTTATTTGCACAGTGTGCAATTAAAAGTCCACAGCTGTCCTCACAGCTGCTCTCAAGTTAGATCCTTCTTCATTATCATCATTTACTGACCACGTGCCAGGTAATTTATGTTAACTCATGAGAAGGGTACAATTCTCATTCCCATCTTCCAGATGAGGAAACCGAGGTGAAAGATATAATTCACTTGACTAATCACCCAGCTGTAAGTGGGAGAGCAGTGTTGGATGCCAGACAGTCCAATTCTAGAACCTGTGCTCCACTGTGCTGCTTCCTGAAACTTCAAAGAGTTGAAAATGTTTGCCTCTAGAGAGTAGGAATAGAGAGTGGAGAGCTGCCCACGGCAGGGGTCTGCTCTATTTTTCTGAGCCTTGTAGTACTGTTTGACTTTTTACTAGAGTAGGTGCTCTCTTAACCAACCATTACTTGACTGCGGGGTAAAACCCACTGAGTCTGGCATGCTCCCTGCTCTCCTTAATTCACTTCACACTTAGGTATGAATCGTTTGACCACTTGACCAACCACATGTCCAGAACATTTAAAATGTTCATTTCAAAATGAGAAAACAAACTTGTACAAAGGAGCTTGCATTTTTTTATGATAAAAAGTCCCACTAGTTAAAAGCAAAAACAACCGGCAGCAATGCTGAGGGGATGACTCAGCCTTCTCAGTGACAGTGAGGTCACTGGCTAGAAGGGACATGGTGAAAATAAGGGCTTAATCCCTTCAATCCATCGCCCACTCAGCAGCCAATAACCTTTTCAGGATCCCGCCAGCCTAATCAAGCTCCCTTCCTTGATGTGCCATCCCCTCAGGACAGAGTCCAGACATCTTAGGAGGTTTGTAAGACTTTATGACCTGGCCCCATTTACCTCTCCGGACTAACGGGCTATCACTATCCTATATCCTTACCAGTCCTTCAACAACCACACTGATCTACGATTGTACTCTCTTTGCCTTCCTGGGCACGTTGCACCAGCCAGAACTGTTTTCCCTTCCTCTTCTTCATCTGGCTAGTTTCCAGTCCTTACCTTTAGGCTCATGAGTTCAGATGTTGCTGCCTTCAGAAAGTCTTCCTTGGATTTCCATGCCTCGGTTATGAGCCTCTCCTCGTGTTTCCATAGCACCCCGCACTTTCCCACTAACGCACTTGCTAAGTTCTTAACCACTCTTCAAGCCCCTGTGTCTTCCCCTCCCACACCGACTGTGGGCTGATCCTGTGAATTGCTTTAATGCAGAGTGCAGAAGTGAAGCTGTGCAGGTTCCAGGCCTAAGCCTCAGGGAGCCTGGCAGCTTCCACTTTTGTACTTTTAGGAAGTTCTGGGCCACTGTTTTGGAAGCTCAGCTACCCAGCTGGAGAGGCCGCATGGAACACGGCAACGAGGCTCAGCCTTTCCAATGTCCCAGGCGAGCCTTCATATGACTCCAGCCCCAGCTGCCGCCTGACAGCAGTCTCATGAGAGGCCCCCAGTGAGACCAGCAGAATTGCCAGCTGAGTCCAGTCAATTCACAGAACTGTGCAAGATAATGACTGATTAAAGCCACAACATTTTGGAGTTTGTTATGCTGCAGTAACTAAAACACCATTCTGTATTTCAATTGTCTACTGAGTTTGCTTGCCCTGTTAGACTCTTTTCTCTGTGAGGGCAGGGACTACACTCATTTTTTTAAAAAACCGTTGTATACTCAGGACACTCTCCAGCACGCAATCAGCTCTCAGATATTGGATTAGGGCAAATTAAGAATGTCTGCCAAAACAAATGTCTAGAGCCCTCACTGTGGTGAGTACACAATGGCATCAACAAAAGAGAGTTAAGTGGACATCTGAGTAGTACGTTCACTTACCTTTGTAGAGGGATTGAGTCAATTTGACTGTGGGCCACAAGCCAACACAGAGCAATCTTGGGAGAAGAGAATGGCTGATGGGTGGGCCTGAAGTTCAGGCAAAACTAAAGGCCAGGGGACAAAGCTGCTGTCCTTGACGGTGCTCCTCTGGGCCAAACTCCACAGGTGATCTGGTGTGTCAGCGAGGACGCCAGCGGCCCTAGCCATCTACCCTCAAACAGGTGGTCTGTCAGTGTTCTCGGACTTCTAGGGACACGAGATGTCATCAGGCCATTTTACATATGGGAACAGACACCTTATCTTCAAAAAACTTCAACTAGCCTCAAACACGGAGGACCCTCAATGATAGTATATGTGGAGTGAATACATTTACGCTAGAATCAATAAACCCGATGGTTAGGGGGTGGTGTTCTATGTCTGTAATCATAGCAGTGCAAGGTGTCAAGTCAACAGGCATTGTTTGAACATCTTCTGTGGACAGTTTATGTCAAGCCCAATATGGGACACAAAATGGGAAAATGCCATCCCTGCCCTGAGGGAGAGAACTGGAGAGACTAGACTTACACAAAAGGGGTAAATAACAGGGCAACATGTAATTACTGCTAAACTGTGTGGTAAGAAATTAAGTGCTAGAGAAACTGGGAAAAGTAGAGAGCAGTGAGGGCTCCAATAGTTGGGGAGTTGTCACTGAAGCGCTAGATGTGGCTGAACCTTGAAGAATAAAATTAACTACAAGACAGGCTGAGTGGAAAAAGAACATGGAAGTCCCAGAGGAACAGAGCCGAACCAGTATGCATATTTTATTTTGAGGCAGCAACACAAGGTATATGAAAAGTGGTTGCCCCAAATCCCAAAGCAAGGATATTTCTGAATAGTTCCCTAATATTCACATGTCTGAGTCTATTTATTGTTTCTTCTGCCTGCAATGCCTTTCTCCACCTGGCAAACTCTTTTTTAAAAAATATATTTTTATTCATTTCAGAGAGGAAAGGTAGAGGGAGATAGAAACATCAATGATGAGAATCATTGATTGGCTGGCAAACTCTTATAGTTAAAGGCCTAGCTCAAATGCAACTACTTTTCAGAATCTTTTCCTGGTATCCCATAACCCAGTGGAAAATATCTATTTTTCACTATTGGAAAATATCTATTTATTTTGCCTACTCACCTCCCCCAGTACAATTAAGAGCAACTTACACTTACAAGGCTCTTACTGTGTGCCAGGAACTATGCTAAACACCTTAAACGTACTATTTTACTTAAACCTCACAATTGCATGAGATAGTATTTTTCCTATTTTATAGATAAAGAATCTCATGCTTAAAGTGATCAAGTAAACTGCCCAAGAACACATAACTAGGAGGCAAGAAAGCTGGAATTCAAACCATTTGTGGAACTCCAGAGGCCACACTTAAAACAACAGACCATGTGTTCCTGGAGGCCACAAATGCTCTTTACTCTGTCTTCTGATTCTAGGATAGTGGCTGACATATGGCTCAAAAATTGAACATATGAATATGTCAGTCTGGTTGTATTAATTGCCTGTGTCTAAAAGTAGGTACCCCCCAGCACTCTTTTACCCAGGTGGAGACTTCCACCTACCCAGAAGTCAGGCACCTGGGGAAAAGGAGGAGGAAATCTACACACCTTATATTTGAATTTGAGCCGCTTTATTTTATGGATTCAAGTGCAGTGGAAGAGGAGCCATGCTTTTCCCAGCAAAAGAACACACATCAGTGGCACTGGCTGGGTCTGAAGACGAGGGCTCTGATTAGCAACAGGAGTTCGTGTAGCGGGGCGGGGGGTTCTCTCTTAGGTATTTTATTTTTTAAATATACTTTTATTGATTGCAAAGAGGAAGAGGGAAAAATACAAACATCAATGATGAGAGAGAATCATTGACCGGCTGCCTCCTGCACGCCTCCTATTGGGGATTGAGCCCGAAACCCCGGCATGTGCCCTTGACCAAAATCGAACCTGGGACCCTCTAGTCCGCAGGCGCTCTATCTGCTGAGCCAAACCAGCTAGGTCTCTCTTAGGTGTTTTAAAAACAGCAACTCAAGTTGTTCCTGTTAAACCAGTTAGGGCCAGACCACTTTTTGACCCTCTCATTACGAAGGCTGGTGCCCTGACGGTGGAAGGGTCTGGCTGGGACCCCGGCATCCGGGCCTGCCTGTGCAGTTCCTCACCGCCTACCCCGACGGCCTTGGACGGGGAGCCTGGACTACGGGCTTCCCACCTGAGACCTTAAGGGAGTCCAATGGGTCTCGTTACTCCCACCTCCTCCAGCATCGCGGCCGGAGGAAGGCTGCTCCCCTTTCGCGTCTCTACGGTGTTTTGCACGAGCCTCTGGCGCCACCGAGGCCGCCCTGGTCCCGCTTCTCGGGCGGCTCAGCTTTGCCAGCCGCGAGCACCCGCCCCCGCGTTCTCCCCGGGCTCGTGCCAGCACAGCCCACGTGGCCGCGCCCTTGCCGCACTTCACCTCCCGCTACCCACAACCCGCCTCCACCCCACTTCCGTTCGCCCAGCACCGTCCTTCCGGCCGGGCCCCTTTCTCATTGGCCGGCTGGGGGCTTCCTCTGG